GCTTGGGATCGGAACGGCGCTGCAGAGTGACTGGCCGGCAAGACCTTGCCCCACGTTAGGCCTCACTTCCATTCTTATCCCCACCCCACAGGAGGAAGCCACCTCCCCCCAAATCCCTCTCAGTATCCGCCCATGGCTGGACAGGAGAGAGGGTCCTGGGCAAAGACTGACTGGCACCTGGGTTATGGGAAGAGCCCCTCCTTCCGGCTGGTGTCAGACCCCAACTGTCTCTGCCAACCCAGATTGGAGCAAGTGCCATGGGAATCCCAGGCCCCTGAGGTTGTGGACAAGGCTGGGCTGTGCCCCTGTAAGGAACTTTGGTTCGAAGAGTCAAGGTGCCCAGTGGGATGCTCGAGTTGGAAGGACCCTTGAGGGTGGTGATGCTGACACCCAGCTGCAGCCCTGGGAAAGCCATCTCTGGAAAGGAAGTGATGGGGGAGGGGAGCGGGAAGGGAAGGTGGCTGAGCCTGCCTGCCAGCCAACAACCTGAGCATCTCTATCCACACCCAGGTGGGAGCAGAGCATCTCTGTACATCAACCAAGGGCTCCTTCTGCAAAAGGAAGGTCACACCACACTCCTCAATCCCGAGAGAGAAGGAACAAAAATCACAGCTGTGATAAACCCCCAGGGACACCAGGCAGGACACAGTAGAAGGAAAACACTACATCATTGGTTCACCATAACTGGCCTAGCACACGTTAGCCACAGTGAAGGGCATGGCAGCTTCCCACTGGCCCGGCCGGATACAGCAGCTGGGGGCCGGCAGGGCTGGGACTGGAGCCTCTCCTGTTTCCGGGTTCTGTCTACACCGTGAACCTTCCTGGAGCTGCCCTGCAGAGACAAGCTAGAAACAGAGGCACTGCTCCTGAGGCAAGGGCAAAGCCATGAACTTGGGGAAGCTGGGCAGGGCAGGCACTTCCTCTTCAGACAGCTTCACCCTTATGGCAAGCCCAGGGGGGGAAGGAGTCGGGGGCAGAGGGAGGTAACCCCTCCAGGGTCATCTCACAGGGCCTTCCTTCACCAGCCACACAGCCTGGTTTCCTTGTCAACCTTCCTGGTGATTGTGGGAGCCCCGAGAGTCCGTGCTGGATCCTGGAAACATCTCCAGATGCCCACAGGAGTGCAGCCCATGTCCAGACAGAGTTGATTGCTCCAACAGGGGACTGCAGAAGGTGGTGGTTCAACTTCACAGTGGAAAATACACCTTGTATCATTTTTCTCTGGGGTTTCTTCAAAGTGCAGGAGATGAAGGGCCAGATTTAAAGACAGAACCCTTGCCAACCTACACACTTGGAACAATAAAATCCTTTCCTGGAATCCCCGACTGCCCTTGGCTCACTAGGAAACCTTGGTGTCCTTTTGCAAGCCAAGAGCTGCCAAGTCCTCAGTGCCCGGCATGAAGCTTCCAAGCAGGACAGTGGTAACACTAACCCACATTCTTTGTCGCCAATGCGTGGAGTTAGTGCAGTTTCACAGAGGTGGGCCTGGTGTGTTGCTTCCTGGTTTTCAAAATGCTCCAGCTGAGACAGCCTGGCTGGTGTGTCCAGGTTTTGGGAAGAACCGTGCCAAGTGCATCATCCATCTGTGGCTGGAACAACCCTGTCCCTCCTGGATCACTAAAATCCAAGGAGTCCTTGATTTGGGCTTTGGCGGTGAAGCAATCTGACCCCAGGTGGGACTCATCACATGTTATGTGGAGGTGCGTGTTCTCCACCCCAGTTCTTGGATCCACATGCACCAGCATGAGGCCATGCCTGTTCTGGGAAATCACACGGGCTCTAGGCAAGCTGTTTCCAAGTCAGCAGGCATCTACCTTGCGCTGCAGAGAATCACACGACTGGCCTGACTTGCCCTCCCTCAAAGGCCTGAGGTGGGCAGGCCTCCAGTGGTCGCAGAACGGGGAGGCAGCTGAGAAGATCCTTTACTCCTCCCCAAGTCAAGGCCAGCACATGAGCTGGAAGGACCTCGTCTCGATCCTTTGGCTGAACTAGAATTTGGTGAGGCTGGATATTGCTGGAAGCAAGGGGCCGGTGGCTGGATTGGAGAGCTCTTTGGATTTTGCTCCGCTGTTTGCTGCAGCAGGATCTGCATGGTGGCATGGCCTGCACGTGAGAAAGCAGGCCCAGAGGGTGCTGTGGTTGAATTTTGTGGTTGGTGATACCAGCTCCTGCGGAACAGAGCAATGACTGCCTGCCACCGTGTGGTCTGCCTGGAGAGGGCAGCCCCAGGGGACAGTGTAGCAATTCACTTCAAATCCGCAATGCAGGCCCCTAGGTATTGAAGGGAGGTGAAAAAGAAGATTGAGGCAGAAGGTGACTCTAGGCACCTAGCATTGAACTTGGCCTTACTCTGACTTCCTTTCCGAAGGGCAGATTTTCTGTGCTCCCTGGAGAAGGAGGCTGAGTGTTCTAGGGGCACATCTGGCTGGGTCAGGTCCTTGATGGCTTTGCAGGAGGGTGAAGCTGCTTTCCCAGCTCATTGGCTCAGTGATGGAGCCTGCAGTGAGGTCTGCTCCAAGAAGGGAGGAAAAGGGTACGTTCCAGCTTTGCTCTCTCTGACACACACCAAGGGCCAGCTCCTGCTGAAGTGCCACAGGCCAGGCAGAAGCTGTTTTCCTGGCAGGCAAGCAGGCAGGCAGGCAGCAAGGCTGCAGAGACCTTTTGCAGCAGGCACCTGACCCTCAGCAGTAACAACCCCCTGTCTCCCCGCGAGACTAGCTTGTGGCCACTCCTTAAGGTCCTACCCCAGTGCGTGCCGATGCCTTCACTCTCACTGGGAAGTGATGTTTGGTTCCCCCCCAACATTTCCCCTGCTCCAGGACGGGAGGATCTGCTGAGGAGGATGATGCCTTAGCAGCAACTGCCTAGAACTCCGGGAGGACAAACAGCAGGTTGTTTCCGAGACCACAGCTTGCTGGCGTGAGGGTACACAGCTGGTCCGTTTTGATCCATTTCGGAAGGACTCTCGAGGGAGAGTGAGGTTAGGGCTCACGAGGCAAGGTGTGCGGGCTCAGCCCCCCCGGGCCAGTGTTCCGGGTTCACAGTCCCAAGACTCGAGTTTCACACGGACTGTACTCCTGCTCCTGCCTGGGAGCAGGGAAGGGCCGTGGTACAGTGCTATTTTGTAGTCGAGGTATCTCATAGTTGAGTAATGCTTTGCAAGAGGGGAAAATGCTTTGTGAGGGTCCACACTCCAGATGGGAGAAAGAGCCTCTGCCCACAGTCTCCCACCACGGGGGTCAGGGGAGGGGGTTACTCTGAGCCTGAAGGAGCCCTGTAGTCACGGGAGGGACTGTGGCAGCCCAGCATATTATTCGTTGGGGAGGTGGGCTGGGTGGAGGTCAGCTGCTGATCCAAGGGACCAGCTTTTGTGAAGGAAAGTGGGGGTGATGTGGCGGGTCACTGCCTCCCAGCGAGTGGACTGGGCATTGGTCCCTCTGGGACGCATGGCTGGGACATGGGGAGGAAAAGTCTGAAGACATCTTTCACAGCATCAAGTGGGATGTGGCTGGGTGCCCTGCACCCTCAGAACTGTCTCCACAGCAAGGCAGATGGCTGCAGGCCCTGCAGGAGTCGGGCAGTGGAACCCCCACCCCTGGGATCCCTGGAACAGGAGGAGGGGCGGTGGCCTAGGCGTGGCAGAGGCTAACAGGACCATCTCAGGAGCCCCTGCTGAGTGGGAAGGGGGCAGGAACAGGGCCAGTAGTGTAATGGCCTCTGCGCACATAATCACACACTGGCGGAACAGGGGGGTAGCTCATCTGCCTGTATGAGGCAGGACCCCTTAGCTACCCTTCCCCATGCTGTGGCTTCCACCAAACCTGCAGAACCTGCCCTTCCTCCCTCGCCCCCTCCATCTCCTGACAGCACAGCCAAGAACTTGGCCTTGGCCGCCAAAATCGATGAAAAAAAAAACTTACTGTACAGAAAAGGTTCATGAAAGCTTAGGATACTGACTCTACCACTGAGATGAGCTAGTTTACAGTGTGACTTGAACCAAAGGGGCAAACAAAATTCCAAAACATAAGTTATAGACATTCAGTGCCTCCTAGCGGAGTCTACATTGAATCTGAAAACAAAAAACCCAGAATGAAACGCACCCTTCTCCCCAAACAGGTAGAACTTGCTATTATGGTAGGATAAAAAAAAAAAAAAGAATGATTAAGGAGTGGAGATAATACCTATACTTCTCTGAAAAATGTCTTCTTCCTTTTTTTCCCCCCTTCCCTCTCTTATCTTGAACAGCAAAAAGTCAGCGTTTCGGTTTCTCGCGTCTCCTCTCCTGATCTGGGGAAGATAGATGTGTTTCTAAGGCGGCTGCCCTGGCAGGGGGGCAACAGCTCAATGCCCTGAAGGTGAATGAGAAGCAAAGTCCAGTGTAGACACTGTCCATCTGATGCCGGCGGGGACTCCATGGCACAGCAGCCAGGTTAGGTGGTGGTGGTGGTGGGGGGAGCAGGGGGTAGGGCGGGAGAAGTGGAACCATGGAGAGGGGACCCAGGAAGGACAGAGAGCGTCAAGTCACTTCAGATCTCAGCTGCCTGAACATTTCACGACCTCAGCTTCCCACCCTTCTGCACACCTGAAAACGGAGTCTTCTAAAGCTCCCATCCCGAGAGGAGGAGGGGGAGGGTGGCTGACGCCCTCCCTCTCCGTCACCCAGCCTTCCTGACACACCCAGCTTGATGCACTCGAGCCTGCCTGCGGGCCCACTCGTGTGCATGCACCAGGATTGTGTGTGTGTGTGTGTGTGTGTGTGAAGTGGTTCTGGCTGTGCAGACAGGCACAGAGGTGATGTCTGCACCCCCACAGCCATGGCACACGTGTTTGGACACGCATACCGGGGTGTGGGTGTGGACACACATGCACACACACACACTGGAAAAAAAGCACTTAAGTTTCCAGGGGGCATTTATAATGAGGTCCACAGTGTTTAGAACTTAAATTCCTTTTGTTTGTGACAGTGTTTTGTGTGTGTTTTTCCCTAATGTTCTCTTGTTTTTGTTTGTTTGTTTCCCAGAAGTTAACATCTTAAAGCATGTTGGATTTTAGAAACATGAGTTTGTTCATATCTTCCGGACTGAGCAGTCGTCTCCTTTTGATTAGGAGTGCTTGCTCACACATATTTACACACCCGCTCCGTGCCCCCACAGCTGGGACTGCTAGGAGCCAGAAGGCGAGCTTGGCGAGTTTTGTGTGCTTTTGGGTCACGCACGACCAGTACTGGAAGAGATCTGGGGTGGCCTGGAAGAGGGGCTCCTGCAGGTAGTCATACACCTCGTTCTTCCCCAGCCGATCGTCGTCCTGAGCTGCGGGGTTCTCGCCTGAGGTCACGCGGGCCTTCTTGGCAGCGGGTTCGAAGTCAGCCTCCTCCGTCCGCGACTCCTTCACCTCGTTGATGAGCTCACACACCTTGCCGATGATCTCCTCGTGCTGGTAAGGCGGCACGGGCCGCAGCTTCTGCTGGGGGTCCAGGATCATGGCCACCTTGTGGGCAGGATGTACCTTGAAGTTCTCCTTGAGTGCCTCCAGGAAGAGGTGGCACAGTTTGCTGACAGTGCCCGCGTCATTGGCCTTGGCCGTGAACAGCTTCTCCAGCCGGACGTAGGTGGGCAGCACCAGCTGCAGGGTGGGCTGGCTCTCGTTGCTCAGCTCGATGACGGCCTGCTTCACGGGCGTCAGGATGGCCGCCAGGTTGCTCAGCAGGTGCTTGTTGAGGCTCTGGATGAGGTTCATCTTCTTGGCCCGGCTGTAGAATTCGCAGATCTGCTCGTAGCGTTCGTGCACCAGCAGCAGCGAGTCCGTCACCGAGTTCCAGCAGGGTGGGGGCGGGGTCTCTTCCAGTGACCCAAAGGTCTCCTTGGCCAGGCCCGTGGAGCCAGCCAGGTCCTCACACACGTTGAGCAGCTCTATGACTTCGTGCATGCTGCGGGCCTGCAGTGTCCGTTTGCTCAGCACGCTCTGCACCACTGAGTTCAAGGCGCAGGCGGAGCAGCGCAGGCACATGCCGGCCTTGGAGAAGGCCGACGCGCTTACCCGGCAGTCTGTCACATACACTGTCCTGATCTCCGACATCACAAACTCTGACAGCACATTCTGCACCCAGTGGTGCACCAGGTCGCCGCTATCACGGATGTCCGCGCCCTTCACACCCAGTACATAGCTCTTGATGTGGTTGCCCTCAGCCTGGTAGGCCGTGAGGATGTAGCAGGAGTCGGGGCCGACGCTCTGTGAGTGGCAGGTGACGCCGATGCCCAGGCAGGCATTACTGCCCAGGGCACACGTCACTTTTACTTTCACCTGGTTGTACATGCGTGGCAGGTGCTTCAACGCCAGTGTGTTGAAGTTGCCCAGGAACTCAGTGACTGAGAAGGCGCCGTAGCGGGCACCACTGTCCACCAAGGTCTGGGCCAACTTCAGGAATTCTTTCCCACTGACGACGCTCAGTGCCCCCAGGTCAGCACACATGACCCGTAGGAGCCGCTCGGCGATGTTCTGCCGCTCCTTCTCGGGCATCATACTGTTGGTTGTCAAGCCACCAGTTGTGGCTGCCAGGGGACACAAGGAGAGATGCAATTAATGCAGGCACTGCAGGCTGCCTGGGTATGACAGCAGCCTCACCCTCTAAGCAAATTTTCTTAGGGAAAATAAACAGATTTTTCTTTTCCGTACAAACTGGTGGTGCTGGCTGCGTATAATACGCCATGATCTTTCAGGGATAAGGTTCCATGATTGACTACTGATGTGTGCTGTGGACGTGGGGCTAGACTGTGGTGAGCTGTGTCCAACATGTGTTCCATGTGTCATTCACCTTAGTCTTGGAATTCAACTAGCCCTACCTTGTCCTTGGGGTGGGAATTCCTTCAATACAGAGGTCCTCGGTGAGTCAAACATAAGCGGCTGGGGTGGCAGGGAAGAGCAGCCGACAGAAATGGAAGAAGTGGGTTCTGATGCTGATTTGGACACTAATTGCTGTCCTGTGACTGCACACACACAAATCATCTCCTCTCCTTAAATCTGCTTATGTCTGTCCTGTGAGTTAATAGAGTTTGGCCTAGCAGTTATGATGCTGGCTGTGACAATCGCACCCCATAATAAAGACCTAGATTCGTTCCTGGTTCTGCTCCCTATCTCGTATTTCTACTAATACACACCCTGGGAGGCAGTGGATAATAGCTTTACCCCTGACCTGGGCAAGTGGGGGCAGTGGGGAGGATTGACTATGTTTCTGTCTCCTGGCACTGGCTGGGTTCTTGCAGGTATTTTGGAAGTGAGAGGGATAGAATAGCTCCGTTTTTCTGCCTTTCAAATAAATGAAATGAACAAAGTATTTCCTCACTGGTTATGTGTCACTGTTCATTGGCACAAAAGGCCCACCTGATGCAAACAAGGGACACAGTGGGGCTGGCAGGACCTCCCTCCACATGCTCTGGGCCCTAGCCCCAGTTGGGAGACCTACTGTTATTGGCGCTGTTCCTCTGGGCCTGCGGTTTCCACTTCTCCTCCACGACAGCAGGTGGCGACCGAGACTGGTTGGAGGCAATGTTGTTTTCGTTGTCAGCTGTGGACACAACAGGGACAGTGAGTCACCTTGCAGGGTACAAAGCACAGGGGGAGCAGAGAGGCAAAGAGACCAAAGCCTGTGCTAAGACCCTCGCTCTCTTTAAACAAGCACCTGTGCTTACACAGCTCCCTGGACTGAACTTGGGAAAAGGAAGATAATTCCACCATGGCAGAAGGGATTCAAGGAGCTGACGCAAGAGAGCTGGGCAGGGTGCCTGGTCCAGGATGAAGGCAGTAAGTACAAATCATAGGATCCCGAGCCTTGCAATGCAGGGCAGGCCACCAGTTCAACTCCAAGTAGCCAAGCTGCCACACTCCCATCTTTTGTGAACCTGCCTTCTCTCTTCTTTTCCCCCGCCAATATCCAAGAGTGCTTCCAATGCTGCAATCCAGAGAGCTGGTATTGTGGCACTGTGGTACAGCCGAAAAAGCTGTTGCCTGCAATACTGGCATCCCACAGGGGTACCAGTTCATGTCCTGGCTGTACCACTTTTGATCCAGCTTTCTGCTAATGGCCTAGGAAAAGCAGCCAAGGATGGTCCAAGTGTCTAGATCCTTGTTACCCATGTGGGAGACCTGGAAGAAGCTCCTGGCTTCAGCCTGGCTCAGCCCTGGCTCTTCCAGCCACCTGGGGAGTAAAACAGCAGGCAGAATCTCTTTGTTTCTCCCTCTCATACAGAATCCTGCTTTTTCAAATAAATAAATGAACCCTTTTAAAAAAAGTTGCAATGCATGCATACAAGTGGACTTTAAGACATTCATGGAAATATGTGTTGTGGGAAAATCACTCATGGTCTTCAAATATTTTTTTGTAGCTCCTCCAAAAAAATTATCCTGCAATTCCTTTTTTCACCTATGAACTGTCTGAAGTGGCCTCATCTTGAGTAGAAGGAAAACAGAGTCCTACACTGAAAGAAGTAGTCAATGACCGCAGCCCTCAGTGGGAACATGTGGAAACTGACATCCAGGCTAAGAGCACACAGCGGGGCTGGGACAACTTCCTGGATGCCCCCTGGTGCAACCCTCTGGAGTTAGGCAAAGGCAGCCAGTTCCAAGGAGGTGGTCTAGACCATGCTCCTCCCCGCACTGAGACCTCTGGCCACCTGAATGTAATCACTTTTCAGCAGGAAGGGTCTGAGTCACACTCCCGTGTGACAAATGGCCATGCACAATTGATCTGCCCTGGGCTCTGCCACTTTTACCAGCATGGCTCTGCCAGAAGCCCGCTGCTGTTTGTGACATACAAAAATGGACAGTGTGGGCCTCGTCTCCACCTACTGGCACAGAGTTCCCGAAATCTCATGGGTCTGCTCCATGGCAGAACTTGCAGCCCTGCCCATCAACCTCCAGGCAGGGAGGTAGGGAGGACTGGCAGGTTGAGTTCATTACCAGCAAACTGTGACCTCCTTAACCATGCCTGTAAAGCCTCCATTAAACCCCAAAAGGATGGCCCAGAGAGCTCCCGGAATGGCAAATAAGAGGTGGGGTAGAAGGGTGTTCTTGGAGGGTGCTGGATCTCAAGAGGTTATGGAAGCTCTGTGTCCCTCCCACACACCTTGCCCTGGGCAGTTCCTCCACTGCCTGTTTCTGAGTCCTAGTTTCTTTACAATCAATTGGATATCAGGTAAGAAAAAGAACTGCTTTACTTCTGCGAACCATTCTAGAAAAGCACTGAGCCTGAGGCCCGGTCCATGCTACCGCTAATTTGCAGGCATCAGTGGCAACCTGCAGCTGTGACTGGCATCTGATGTGGGGCCCATTTTATGGGACCAAGTCCTCAACTACTGTGGTCTGTCAATGTCTCCAGGTAGTGCCAGAATCGAGTGAAACTGCAGGACACCCAGTGTCTGCAGCGACACAGTCCTGAGTTTCTACACACTGATACTCTGCCACTGTTTCTCTGTGCTTTTTTGTTGTTGTTGTTGTTCCTCATCTTCCCCTGCTCCTTTTCCTTGATGGGGATTTCATCCTAGACACATCGTCTGAAGGCATTGATGGCGTCTCCTCTGGGTTGCTCGACCTCTTCCACCGTCCTTAGTTAAAGGCATCAGGCCTGAGAAGTTAAGACCAGACTTTAGTTCTCTAGAAACTATATCTGGTCTGTTTGTATCTGGACTGTCCCATCTTCTGCTGCAACAGGAAGTGGCAGGGTTTTGCAAGCACTGTAGAGGTGATGTGCAGCTTGCATTTGGTGGAGCGAGGACACCATCCCCATCCACTCTTGTTCCCCAGACTTTAGAGTTCTCAGACAGTTACAGAGGCAGTTGATTCAGGGTTTCCGGCTTTGCATTTCAAAACACCAGGCTAAGGTAACTCTGCTACTGTCCTCTCCGCCCACTCTCTGCACTCCCTCCAGCCACCTAGCCCCCAAGATAGGAAAAGCCCACTGAGTTTTGAAACGTCCATGAAAAGCTACCTCGGCCTGACCTACTCCCTCATCTCTCTGAACTCCCCAACCTGAGACCGCCCAAGCGCCCTGAAATCTTGGCCACACCTTCAAGTGGGTGGGAGCACCAATGGGGAACCTTTGACCTATAGGTTCCTGCCCAACAAGGAGGGGTCAGGAAAGGCTTAAAACCCCAAGACCCTTCCTCAAACCTTCAGTGTCTTTCCCTCTCTCCTTTGGAGAGGCATCCCACCTCCCAGCTCTCTCTTAGGGAGGGTGGTTTTTACTCCTGTACATTAGAGAGGCCTGCCATGGGATTTCCTTTTCCTGATGCAAATAACTACAAAGCCTGGCAGAACTATTCTGGGACACATACTCAGGCTGTGATCCCTGGGAGAAAAAGAGAGAGAGAATGAATAAGTGAAGAGAGTGCTCCGGCTAGCCCAGCTGACATCCGGTAGCTGGTTTGCAAGCTGGGGAACAGGCAGTCTAATGCACTAATATAACTGGGTAACAACAAGAAAGTGGGGGTAAACATGGAGATCTCAAAATCACATAAAATACAGGTTCTGACCAGTCCAGAACTAAACCAGAAGAACAAAAAATATTTTTGAAAAATGGAACCTCTACATAAATAAACTTTTAGGTAATCCACATGTCAGAAAAAACTTAAGTGTAATTAGAAAATTCTTTGAACTAAGTGAAACATATCAAGGTTTGTAGGATGTAGCTAAAGAATTGAAAGAATTCTACCTACAGCATCAAGTCAGTATATTAAAAAAGATTTAAAGTCAGTTGTGTAAGCTTCTCTCTTAAAAAGATCTAGGAAGAGTGAGTTAATAAACAAAAGGAGGAAACTATGGTAAAAACAGAAATGAATGAAATAAAAATGGACAAACACAACTGAGAAAAGCCAATGAAACTAAAGGCTGGTGGTTCTTTATTACAAAAAAAAAATTATTAAGATGGATAATCCTTTAGCCAGAAATATTATAGACAAAGAGAGAGAACCCAAACCATCAGCAACGGGAATTAGAACGACCTCACACCAGTAAGTTCAACAAGTGAGACAACCTGGAAGCCACCAGCAAGCAAAGCTCCCGAAAGAAGAACCAGGCAACCTGCAATAGGACCCAGGTTATGACAGCAACTGAGGTCATGGCTGCAGAACTTGCTGCCCAGAAATCTTCAGGCCCAGCAGTTTCCCTGGTGAACACAACTGAACAGTTACAGAAGAAATAATACACATTCTGCCAGAAAAGAGAAGAGACAAGGACACCTTCCAACTCATTTTATGAGGCTGGCATTCTGATTCAAAACTCAGGAGGCCAGGAGGCCATTAAAACAAAACAAAACAAAAAAATAAAACTACAGGCAAATACAAGTAACAGAATATTAGCAATAAACCCATGTCATAACAAATGCAGATTATCCCACAAATATAAGTTGGTGGTAATAGTTGAAAAATGACCCTTATAATTCATATATTGAGAGAAAATACAAGATACTGAGAGGAAAAAATACATATACTAGAGAAAACAAACAAAATCATCTTTATAGAAACTAATACACAGTAAAATATGAACCAAATTCAACATATATTCATGAAAACTCAGCCTGAAACTTCCTCAATCTGATGAAAGGCATCTAAAAGACCCTTTAAGCTTACTGACTTCATAGAAACAAAAAGCATTATAAAAATACTATCAGAAGTAGTACTCGAACAAATTAGATAGCCAAGATGAAATAAATGTATTGTATTGATGTATTCCCAGCAATACATAAAGATAAAGCAAGAAAATGTATTTGGGGAACAGAAAATCCAGACGGACTTACAGAAAGAAACTTAAGAGGTGACAAGGTAACAAGCCCTTCTCCCCATTGCCAAGGCTAAAACAGCATCACTGCTGAGTTCCATCATACGTTAAAAGAACTCTTCACAAGCTCTCCCAAGAAAACAGAAGAGGAAGACACACTTCATAATCCAACGCATCATTTATAAATGTTATTCTGATTCCAAAGTCGAACATAAACACACACACACACACACACACACACACACACACACACACACACAGAGAGAGAAACTAAAGGCTAATAGCCCTTAAGAACACAGATATAAACATTCTTGGTTAAATATAGCAGACAAACCCAGTAATGCATAAATAGAATTTTATACTATGAACAACTAGGATTTATTCCAGAAAGCTAGGGAATATACACACACATTTATTCCTTAAATACACACACACACACACACGAATTAATAAACTCAGCAAGATAAATACACAAAAAGCATATTTTTATATTAGCAATAAACATCCCAAGGGAATAATTCCATTTATAATAATTTCTGAAACAAGACAGTTAGTATTAAATTTTTTAGAAGCCATTCAAGGCTCATTCAATAAAAGCGTAAAACATTACTGAAAGAACTCAAAATATGAAATCAATAGAATGATATCCCATGTTCATGGATTGGAGGGCTTAATATTGTTTAAACAGTAACACTTAAAATATTAAAAAATAAAAAAAGTTGGGGAGGCTCACACTTCCAGATTTCAAAACTACTACAAAGGTATAGTGATCAAGACAGCATGGTAGTGGCATGG